TTTCCCTAGGAGAAATACCTATATATTGCCTGGTTTTGAAGTTGGAGCAGAAAAGCATTTTCAACTTGTTCAAATGGTCTGACATATATAGTGGAACTCTAACAAAACCTGTATTAGTCAAGCTAGCAATTGTCATTGGAGTCACTGACAATGATAAAATATTGAAGAACAAAGTAAGTAAAGCTTAACGAATAATGACAGACAGTTTTTTAGTTCTTTCATTTTCATTCTTTCATTGTCTTATTTTATTCACCTCCTAATTTTGTTTCCTATTGTTTTGGAGTGACTGTCTGACACTCACGGAGGCTGCATACAGACAATAGGATGAAGAGGTATGTGCCTTTTTACACTGCTGTCACTGTGCATCAACTGCTTCCTTTTCATTTTTACTTTCCCGTGACTGGTGAAAGAGATAGAAAGGCTTGTCCTTTCAGCTACCATGCTCAACTGCTGAGTTTTGAACGCCGAAGCCTGTACCTAAAAATTACATCCACAGCTTTGAGATTAATTTGGTCATGACAAGGAAAATAAAATATAATCGTTCTTCCATTTTATGAGCTATTTTTTCTAAATTTTCCCAACTGCCAAATCAACATTTGTATGTATCCAACTATTTAGCTCTGAACTCTGCTCGACTATCATTGAAATTCACAGGATAACCTGTGCACTTCAGTTTAGTATGTATTTACATGCTTTTACTGGGTTGAAGCCATAAGGCCAGCCTATTCACCTGATACACATTTACAAGCCATCAAATTATTTTAGTCTTTTCTTTATTTCACGAGCTTAGTATTAGGAAAAACTCAAATAGCACTGCAACTGTATAATTCACCTATTAGTGTAAATAGTACAATTTACTGTTTTTTTATTGATGCGCAGTCTCATAAAACTGATCATTAAAAATGAAATTCTGCACTAACATTACTTCAGCATAATACTTTAAATTTAGCTTTTCCACGTGCTCATCCCCTTTGTTGTCTCTATTTAACAAGATAAATCAATTATTCCTACAGTTATAGCACAAACACATGCTTTTCAAAATTTCTGCAAAGCTAATATACTGAAAAATAAGTAGTTGCATATGCTATTGCTCCATAAATATTAGATTTAGTATCTTTGGAGTTAATATTGATTTCAGAACCTGACTGAAAAGGCTGGACTCCAGCGGTCACAGGCTCAGTGCCCCCACTAGGTGGCATAAGAAGAGTCTGTGTGAGAAGAATATATTTTGTTCTACCATTACCAAAATGAATTTGTATGTTAAAAGATGAGGGAAATATGGAATATGTTGAGGACTATTAAACATTTACTTGTACAAATGTTATTTACTGAAGTGAGTGGAATTGTTTTGGCATATTTAAAATTTCACTCAACAATGCTATTTTCATACAAATAGTGAGAGTAATCCTTAAAATACTTTGATAATTATAAATGGTTTTAGGCATATATAATCTTGCTGTCTTTTGTAGCTCTGTTTATGTGGGTACAGTGTATGTTCACAAGGCTGGTAATCTCAGTATCTTTGTATTTTCTTATTGTTGGGCTTACACCGCAACACACATACACATTTAACAGACACATTTCAGTAAGATTTAAGCTTCTGTTTCTTTAGTCTCTTATATCATGAGAAATCTTAAGATTATAAAACTTACTAACAGTATTACTAGATACTGACTAAAAAGCTAGCAAACAGAAAATACTTTAGATAAGACTCTTCATCATTTTTGGTGCTAGAAGCCCAAACGTTATGAATATAGTCCAAGCTATACACCTAGGCTGCCTTTAAGCTCCCCTTACACTCAAAAGAGACAAGTTGGCAACATTACCATCTTTTAGTCAATGTAAGATGGTTAACACTCTGAATTGCTTTACACATATCTGTTGGCTATAGAAACAGGCTAAAGGACTGGCTGAGAGCAGGCTGTGGTGTGAAATCATGCCAGGGCGCAACGCTCCACGGCACTGCACTGAAATCCCACCAGGCACACACCCTGCCTAGGCTGCTAAGTATGCCCCGTCCTTTCTGGCACCTCCTTACTGGTTTCTTCTCTCTAGAAATGCCAGTCCTCTCTGTTTAGGCAAACTAAAGTTGCCATTTTAAATTTACATGGGTGCTCCTCTAGCTGCTATTAGGTTAGAAAAACTGTAAGTCATTGTGAGATCTTCACAAAAACTGACCAGTGGATTTAACCAGTTCAAGAGAGTAAGAACTGTGTTGGCAAAGAGCAAATTGGAGCTGAATACACATAAACCAAGGCTGCAAAGTTAGCACTACATGCTAGCAGGAAAACATACATTTATCACATGGATATATGGGCCAGAAGAAATGTGCTTTTAATCTATTTATTGCACACACACACAATGTATGCCTTTAGATTCTCATATGGATCTGCACCTGTAAAGTCCAAAGATAGTTATGCAGTGCACTGCTGCTACAATACATTCCTAGTCACACAGACAACGTTAAATAACTTTAAGAATAATGTTTGTATTAGTTTAATACTAAATTGCAAGATTATGCTGTAATGTCTGAAAAAATGGAATAAAAGAGATTCTTACCTCCTAGAGGAGGGCCTATGAGCACGGGGCAACATTCCACGATGGTGACAAGTCCAACTGCACTGGAAAATCTGGCAGCCCCAACGAGGTCCATCAATGTCTCAAAAAGAACGCTGCTAACCATTCCAAATGCAAACCCAAAAAATACAGCATATATCACCAAGCCAGTGTAATTTGTTGCCAAAGGGCACAAGATATGACAGACACCATTGTACAAGACAGCAAAACTAAAAAAGTACTGAATCTTTGGCCGGATAAACTTGGAGTTCGCTACGAGTCCCATTGAAGGCCTAGCAAACATGTCTACAAAGGCTAAGATAGATAGCAAAAAAGCAGCAGAATATTCATCAATTCCCTTGTGCTTGGCATAAGGAGCCAAGAACACTATTGGAGCGAAGAAACCAATAAACATAATGACATTTCCTGACAAATAGATCAGAAACCCTCGGTGTTTGAAGAGGGACAGATCTAGATATTTATTCATAGTTTGCCAAAAAGACTTCTTGTTGTTTTTGTGCAAGGTAGAGTCTCCTGTGCCTTTTTCAACATCTTTTTTCACAGGAGGGACTGTTTTCGGTCCAACAGGTCTCATAAGTGACCCAGCCACACAGCAGTTCAAAAGAAGTCCCCCCAGAATGAGAAAGCTTCCTTTCCAGCCAAATGCATTAAAGAGGAATTGATTGAGAGGTGCCAATGTGCTCAGAAACACTGGACTTCCAGCCATGGCCAATCCATTAGCAATGGGACGCTTCTTATAGAAATACTTGCCAATCATGGTCAAGGCAGGCTGTAAGTTGAATGCTAAACCAAGACCTAAACAACACATAAAAGACAGTATTATTGAAGGTCATGCACTAAAAAACATATCACACCTCTTTCAAGTTATTTTTAAAATGACCGGTATCTAATCCAGTCATTCCCAATGAAGACAGAAACCAACTAGCATCAGAGAATGAAATACAGCTTCATTGCTGTCCATGCGTGTTAATGCCAAGACTATGTCATGGTGGCATTCCGCCATTTCCCCTATGGCACTGCAATAAAAGCCAAAACTCCTTGTTGTGTTTCAGCGATGATAGAGACAGGGGAATCACAGAGGAATGAGATGGTATCAGCACCTTGACTCACCATTTTTGTATTTTCTGAGCTATAATGCAATTCTCTCTTGGCTCATTTCACAAAAGTTATTAAATGTCACCTCAGCTACAATGAATGCAGGGTGTATTTAAATACATAAATCTCCTCATTTCTTATTTCCAGCCCTATTTAAGACCAAACTTGTGTACAAAAGTGGAGCTTAAAATGGCTAATTATTTTGGAGCACATTCAGCTCCACATCCCCAGGTATGGAAGTCACTACTAAAGGTGGAAGAGTTGTAGAGGACATGCATGGGAGGAGACCACCCATCCACATCAGCTGAGCGTATAAACCGAACCTCTAGGCTTTCTCTCTGCATTAAGACATCTAGGCAATAAGGACAAAGTAGCTATGCAACTGCTGGATGGCACAGGAGTTTTCTTCTCAGATAGGCCCATTCCTGGACCCCGATTTTATTCTTTCAGTAAGCCCCAAGTTTAGGATGTAAAAAATAAGAGCTTTAAGAAATAATCACTGAACAAAGAAGGACTCCTTTAGTCCCAACATAAAGACAGATTAACTTGAATATAGTATTACCTCATTCATTTATTACCTGCCAATATTTCACCTCACTTGCCTTCCTTATTCTGAGGAGGTAGTTTAAAAAAAACCCACAACTTTTGATAAGGAGGCTATTTAATTTACTGGCTTTATGTTCACTTTAGTTCATTGCCTTAGGTAATATCCAGGCCTTTGATGATATATGAATAATTTTATTTGGGGATTGACCCTGGGGGATTTTAAACAGAAAGCTATTAAACTGTAAGTTGTTATACTTATCTGTGAGAGTATATGTATGTACAAACCTACAGAAAGCTGGAACTAGCTTTTGCATTTTTACTAGAATTCTGCTAGCCTCTGCCACTCCATTTGAAGTGCAACATGATTGAAAGCTAAAAGAATGAATGTGAAATTCTACACAAATGACTGTAATAAGTGCTGTCACAAGCCAATCAATTTTTATACCATAATTACAGTGCGGTGTGGAACAGTACATACATACAGCATTTATTGAATAAAATCATCAGTTGTTCCTGAAATACCCTAAGAAATAATTTAACATAATACCAGCTAATTTAAAGAATTAGATAGTTCAGGTAGCTGAAATGAACTGATCTTGCTAACTTCTTGGTTTGCATTTGTACAATGTCTTGCACAGTGGGTTCTTGATCAGCAAGGCTCATTGATAGAACAGTATTAGAAATACTACAATATAATATAATATAATAATCTCTTTTAAACAGGACTCTTACCTCCAACAACACCAATACATAGATAAAGTTCCAGGACACTATTACAGAAAGAGGAAGCAATCATACCAAATGAGCACAGGATACCTCCTGCTATCATCACAGGCCGGCTACCATACTTATTCACCAAAATGCTGCTTATGGGACCTGTTGGTAGAAAGAAAATATATTAACAGGTAACAGGCAACTCCGTTAAACATATCTTTGTGTTTAGGATATGTTGGAATGCCTTGCTCTTCCATCCCGGAAAATGTTTATCTGTTTCTATACCGATTTGTCTTACACTCCATGACTTTGCGGACACATGAGCCTGGATGTGGATATATTGCCTCCACGACAATATAAATATTGATTAGTCATGGAGATGGATCAAAAGATTAAAGACATCAGACAAGCAAGAGGGATTGTTACAGTTCACAAGCAATCAATACTGAGTTCTGTCAATGGAAGTTTTGAAAGTACAAGGACTGAAGAATTTCAAGTATGAGACAGATATCAAAACTCCACAGAGCAGGAGGAATATCCAGAAAAGCAAACGAATAACTGATCTTAATACTGTAGCATGTCCTGGACCCCTACTTAAAACTACACGTAGACTTAAAAATATTGTCAAATCAGAATGTAAATCTCTGGCCCTTGAAGCTTGTTTTCCCTTACCTCATCCAGAAAGGAGTGTTAAAGGGCAGCAAGATGACTAGTTGTCTGGGAAAATCTGAAATGTGGTTTAGCATAAAGACCTATAAACTTTGAAAATATTGCTACAGGTCCGTTTTCCAGTTCCAACTGCAATTCAGTTTATGGTGTAATTACATCCATACTAAACAAACAGCTAGTCTGCAATTCAGTGTGACATGCATTATATGTTTTTTAAACGACCGTGACTAGAATAGATGGTGTGCTACATATCAAGATTAAGAGGTTGTCAAAGCTCTTTAGGTAAACCTGCATACCATCTGACTGCACTATATTTGGCCCAAACCATTATGAATAGTCTTGCTTTTGCAATAACTAAACTTATCCAATTCAAAAATAAAATAAAAAAAAAACATAATAAAAAGAAATAAATTTCAAACTCAAGACAAAGCAGGCACCTGGCATAAAGTGAAATGCCAAGCTCTACATCTGATTTCACTGCAAATCATTCACTGTACTGGTAACAGTTTTAAGTCTCTCTCTTTATAAATATCTAAAGGAATAAATGCCAGAAAGTCCATGATGTGAAAAAGCCAAATCCAACCAAATTTAAAAGTGTATTTTCATAGGTACAGTGTTATTTTAGACTCCACTGTTTGAATTACCTTAAAAATATTAAAGTATTATTATGGATGTACTGTAAATGTTAATTACTACTTGCATATCAACAACAAAAGTCTTAAGCACATGTCAAATGATCAATTTTTAGCTTACTTCCTTATGGAAATAAGCTTCTACAATAGTGTTGCCCTGTGTCTGCCCATCTTTTCTAATAGCTTGTGAATCCAGAGGTCAGTTTGAAATTAACTTGACTGAAAAGCAAGGATTTGAGTGATGTTTAGATCTTACAGTTTGTGCATTCATTAAATAGCTATGGTCACAAGGAGTCCAGGGCAGCACCTGTTTTAAAAAGGAAGTCCCTGTCCAGGCAGCACAGATACTGGTCAATACACTCAGCTTTCCACCAGTAAAAGCAATCTATCTTCTTGTCCAGGCAGCTGTGCTGTTCAAGATAGGTAGGGGCGTAGAGGATAAACAGGGTGTCTGTTTTACTGGGAAGGTAAAGGATGCTCAGACTGAAGGCATTAGGGCTCATCTTACAGACACATAAACGTAGGAGACCAGGCTCTGCTGCTGACTGAAATGCAGCTTAAGCATAACCGTATATTGAAACCAACAGACTTGAAAATCCACAGCATAGAATGGCCCACCAAATATACAACAGCCCAGAGATTTATTAAAAGACTTTAAATCACATGTGAAGCACTAGAACATTTTGCTGACAGCCTATATTATGAGATACTTAACACTTCTTTATTTCCATTTGGGGGGAACCACTGAGCAGAACAGTGACAAGGTGTGGTTTCTCCTTTGAGGCCATATGGAGAAAGCAGCGAAACATGAAGAACGGACAAATTATGCTCCAAACACTTCCCAAATATATCATGCTTACTTCTCCTGTCTTAATAAACTTGTGCTCTCATAGCTGTGCTGAAGCATAACTTTAATCACATTTTTTTAATTCATGGAGCTATGTTTGGATAATCAGTAGTTTGGCTCATGTTTGAATTAGAAAGCCTTTTTGAAATACACGAACAATACAAATATTTCCTCTGGGTCAAAAAAGCTCCTTTTTTACTTGAACTCTATGTTTAACTCAAAGCAAAAAGTTTCATCCCTATATCAATTAATATTTGTATTTTTGAAAATAAATTACAGGCAGTTTTCTGAAAAAAAAAAAAGTTTTGTTATCATTGATAAACACAATAACACTATTTCACTTCAAAGATACCAAAATAATGATTTTTAAAATTATTTTCAAGTTCCTTTTCCTTTGATGAGATGGAAGTATTTACAAAATTGTAAATGAAAAGTCTGTGCAGTATTTGTTAACATTCTGACCTCGCCCCAAATTACTGCTGTAATAAATGTTGCCTTGCTGTAGTCTTACTTAAAATGTCCCTTTACTGGTCCTTAGAAAAAAATGTAGGAAAGAGATGTCATAGCAGGTAAATATTTGACCATACTATTTACAGATTTATTTATTACAGGCAACACCTTGAATTGTACCTTTATACAAATACTTCAGTTATTATGTATAGACCTGTTAGCAGTCTGTTTCTTTTCTCATTAAACAAAGACAGCGTGAAAAGTTAGAAGGATAGTGTGAGACCAAATGAAAAAAAAATGAGGTAAATCCACACATAGCAGACTATCACGTGTTGGAAAGAGAGGAACGGCATTTAAAAAGATTGTTGTGCAATATTGCTATATTGTTAGCATTTTAAATAAAACTATGGATCAAAAAGACAGCATTGCACAGCATTGACAAAGTTTTCCAACCATAATCAAGGACAAAGATGAGCTTTACTGTAATATTCACCCCAGCAGAGTACTGACTATAATAATCATATTCTTTAATACTATTCCATCAATCCTTCTTTCCTTCTCCTGCAGAACAGGAAAATGAGCCACGTTTCTTGTTTGTTTAGGGGTTTGGGGAAGAGGTTTGGTTTTGGTGTTTGGTTGGTTAGGTTTTTGGCGGGCTGTCCAAAAATGGCAAGTTTCGTAGTACAGTCCTTTGAGGAAGATCATTTTGTGAACAGTTCTTTATTAGGAACAAGAAAACTGTACCTCTGTGGATCTTAACTGTGGCAGTTAGGTCAGGACTGTAAGTTACAGCTTTTCAGATCAAAGCATGCAATGTTAGCCTCACCTACAAGACATGTTAGCTAGAGGTCAAATATGGATGTGTTAATTTAGGTAGGCAGTGGATGAACACACCAGAGGAAAGACAAAGCTGTGTGATGGGTCTGAGATCTGTACTTTCAAATTACCTAAATCTGGAATGTATTATGAATTTAAAATTCCTTTAAACATAATATTCTCTTTGTGATGTTTTCCTTAAGTTAGCGATGTCTATTGCAGGGAGCTCCATTTAATTTTGGTATTTCTTTTAGTATATTCCAGTATTTTGATTTAAAATTTGTGCATGTGGGAAATATTAATTGTTCTATAAGCCATAAAGTTAGTTTAAGCTTACTTCCTAAGTTATCTAGGAATCCTTCCAACCTGATAAGTAGGTTAAACGTTTTCTTGACATCTGCATATATACTTGGTTTTGGAGTCTCATAAAATTATGCATATTCATACCTTAACATATATGAATCTCCATAAATTCCAGCTGTTTGCCTGCCATCATACGTTTTATAGCCATGCACAAATTTCATTTCACATCTAACAGCTTCTACAATTATTTAAGCAATGCTCACATGCCAGCATGTATCTATATTCCTTACATATTTTTTCTTTCTAGCAGAAGGAAGATTAAGTACTATAATACTGCCAAAATCATGCTATACATTAATGCACGTTAATGCACTAAAGGACTGTTGGATCTCTGAGTCTACTTCTCCGAAGCCTGAAGTAACTACATAACAGATGTTAAGTCAGGAAGCCCACAAGAATATTTACTCTGATCTCTCCCTTAGCACCTACAAACCATCAGCCACAAAAGACTATACACTCCCTAAACCAAATTTAAGACCATTATCATAATATGCTAACAGACTCCTGGCAGTATTTTTGTTTTATGTCTTTCTGTTTGAGGCAAATGACCAGACTGTGAGAAGGAATAAGACAGCAACTGTAACCAGTGCCACTGAAGAACAGTTTCAGGAAGGGCTGAGAAGCAGGACACAAATGCTTTAGAAGACAAGAAAAAATAGCACCTTTTCACATTCTTCATCATATGTCAAGGGAAAGATGACAAAAGTCATTTCAGCTTATGTGAGCAGACACTGGCTGATGCATTTGGGAGCTGTTTATGATGTTTTGTACAAAGCCTATAATAATGTGACACCTATGTTCTGTTTTGATGTCTCAGCAGAACATTCACTTGCACATCTGTATTGTGCAAAATGTGAGGACAAAGCTGCTTTCACTGGTCTTCATTGAATACCAAGACCTCTCAGAAGAAATATATTGCTTACAAATGAGATTAATTATTTATTATAATAACAAAGGTAGCAATAATCCATATTTTCCTCTCACTTCGAAGTTTAACTTTTCAATCATCATTAAAATCTTCCGTCTTATGCTAAGCCATACTGTTGTAAATGAAAAGCAATAAAAGAGACTACATAACTGAATAATAGTACATTTAAAAAGCAGATGTTTGAAGACATAATCACTTTTTTCCTCTTAAAAGATGCTTATTGTGCTAATATGGTTTAAACATAACTCAAACATTAAAGTTTCTTTTTTAAAGAAAGGAACTACTTGTTATTTTTGTGAAATAAATAGAGAGCTCAAACTATGCACTATAAATTTAATATTTTTTCTCATATAGTTACATTCTCAGAGATACACACACACTCATATACACACATCTATCCATTTATTTGCTTTTTTCAGCCCTAAGAAAATATACACTTCAAAAAATGGTCTGACTC